TTAGTACAAGAACTGTGAAGTTGATCCACAACATTCATTGTCTCAGAATGCTCTAAATAAGGCTTTACGTGCCCAACTATGGCTATCGTCTTATATTGTCAAAGCCAAAATCAAATAAGTTTTTTGACATTCGATATTATTGATGATGATCTGAAATAAAATTGACGTTTTCTTGGTGAAAAGCGCGAACTTGCTACTCTACTCTTTGCCGACAATCAAGCTGACGTCTCGGCGAATTTTCCCTATTTCAGAGTGTTGGGACGGCTCGTTGATATAGGAATACCAAGTAGTTAGGATAATTCGGTCGGAATTAGCTGCTCGTCTTTGTGTACGCCACGCGGGACCTCTTGTGATTAGCAGTCACAATGCCGGACACCTAAAACTTGAGTAATTAAACCGTTTATCACAATTATACAACAATCATAACAATACAACTCTACATTTAATGCAACAATGATACGGGTTATGAGTAGGTGCAGCCTGATCACTGGTGTTCAGGTTGCTTACGAGTGAAGAGATTGGCATAACAGTACAACTATATAATTAATGCAACGATGATACGGGTAATGAATAGACGCAGCCTGATCACTCGTGTTCAGGTTGCTTACGAGTGAAGAGATTGGCACATGACTTTTAATACATGAGATGGTTGTGAGGCACGAATGCGGTGACTTGGGTGGCATTGCTGTGACATGAGCTAGCTAACCGTGGAGCCGTTTATAAACCTTTGTGCTGGGAGGAGTCAGATTACAGTAGGCGGAGTCGGGCTACAGTAGGCAGAAAGGAGGATGCTGGAAACATTTCTCAAGCATTGCAATCTGATAGAGCGATATTCAAAGCCTAAGACCGTAAGTGCAGATATTTTACGAGATAGTCGCAGCGAAATGTTGGATATACGGCAATCAGATCGTCATGGAGAGAAGGTCATGGGAGAAGCATTTGAAATGTTTGGAAAGGTTTGAATTGTTTTACATACAGAACATTCCAATATTTGTGAAGAATGTTCTCTATACAGAGTCTCGAAAGGTCAAGTTGACTGCAATCTACCCACTCAAACATCCGAATGACCAAAACAGAGAAAATGTTAAACAAACATACACAATGATGGCGACATATTGGCAAAACTACGGACCGCAGGTGTCTGCTTTGGGCAACGAAAGCACTATCGCCCTTTCCGGGGGCTAACAAGTTCGCCACCATATTGTAGTTAACAGATTAACATAAATATAGTCTTTCTAATCGCTTGTTACTCTTCAAGCAGTGAGGACAAATTCTAAGGAGGACAATTCTGAAAGTTGCAACCATACTCACATAAAAACCTAATCAATATCACACGTGATAAAGAAAAAACGTTTAGAGGAATAAAAGAGCTCATCATGAGTGGTTGAACCAAATGGAAATCTATTGCTGTCCACAATGTCGTTCCTGGAACTGCTTTCAAGCTTTGGCGGAAATTCACAGAAGAAAAGTATCATCAACATCATTTCCGAGTAATGTTAGCCCTTCCATGTTAATTGGAAGCAAGCGTAGATGCGGCAGATAACAGAAAATGTTTGTAAACTAGAAGACTTAGCATTGAGAAAAAGATGAAGCTATTAGCGATTTTTGAAGTAATATTTGTATCACCCGTTGTCCCACTGACAATCGAGTGACTCGAGAGGGACGTCCTTGCTCACATGGCTGTCCTTTGTCGAGTGTTCTGTCAATCCATTTTAGGATGAATCCAGTGAAAAGCTTGTAGACGACAAACTGCAAGCACATTGGACGACAGTTGCCGATATGGAGGTTCGTGGAGGTCGTCTTTCTTGAACAACAGCATGGTCTTGTTGGTCTTTGATTGAGTAGGGACCTTGCATTCAGACAGGTAACGTGTGAACAACCCAGTCAGTGGGTTGAGAAGGGTTGGCGTAAGGTTCTTCAGGTGTTCATATCCTGCCCTGTCTTGACCCGGTGCTGTTCAACTTTTCACCGACAGAGTACCATATCGAATTTCGGAAGAGAGGACCCGTGGTACGACACATCCTTCCTCCTTTACTTCATAAGAATGACGAAGGACGTGGCTATTGAAGAGATCTGAGTAGTAGTCGTAAATCATTCTCTCAATTGCCTCTCTAGACGCTGTAACTGTTTCGTCTGGGAGCCGGAGTGCAATCATCTTGGTCTTATAATTGGCGAAGCTCCGGCGGTTATTGCGAATGCTTTACCCAGCTTCTGCAGCTTCGACCATTACTGCTGCTCTTCTCTCTTTAACATCTTCTTTTATCGTCTGTTTGTATTGTTTTGCAAATTCGGGCGTTAGTCTGTGGTTGCCTATAACTCGTGCGTTTCTACACTGGCGTATCAGCTCCAGTGTTTCTGGAGACAGACGTCTCTTGGTGACTTTCGAACCCTGAGCTTTCATAGCGCTAGCGTGAAGATGTTGAATGAGCCGATCGTGTTCCGTGGTTTTAGGACTTTGGTTTTTGAATTTAGTGGCTTTTTCTCCTTTTCGCGAGAAATAGAGTCTTGCATGAAGGAGGCGATGGTTTGATCCCGTGTAGAATTTTGGGACAACAGCGATATCGGTTAGGCAAAACCCTCTGTTTACTATGATGTGGTCTATTTCGTTATGGTACTCTCCATTGGGAGACTCCCACGTCCAGCGTTGGGGGTGGGCTGCTGAAAGTGTGAGTTACCATGGACGGTCTTGGTCGCCATGGTAAACTCAGACTGCCGCTCATCCTGTTTGTTCCATTCTAATCCGTGGGTCTCAATGTGACGTTCTTCAGACATTCTTCTGGTCTAATCTCAGCGTTAATATCTTCAATGATGATCTTGAAGAATGTACGGTGTTTCTCTGTAGAACTTCTCCACGTCCATATAGAATACTTCGACTTCTTCTTCGTCATAGTTTGATGTTGGCGCGTAAACAACGAGATTGTCAAAGCCTGTATTGATCCATTAGGACCATTTGTACTGATCCAAATTTCTTTAGCCGTAAACTTCCGATTTGAGTTGTAAGTTGTTCGAATGAATAGATGTTCGTGGACAAACTCGTGTTGTCGGGAACGTTGATGCCACCGACCTCTCTATTGTCGGATGTTCCGAGGAACAGTTCTTCTCTGGTGTCATAGGCGGCGTCGAATTGGTGGCGTCGTCCCGTCTCGGTCAAGTCGATGACGTCGTACTTTATCCGTCTTGCTTGCATGAGCAAGTCTTCGATCGAGGACGCGGATTTAATTGTTCGTGCTTGTTTGTACAGATCTTGACATTAATTCTTTGAGACTTTGTAAGCTTAGAATGACCCTGAGATTTTGGAAGCCTCTCCGTAGACGTCCTACTCAACGCTGCCCAATCGCGGACTCTTTCGGGGCTAGGGGAAACAGGCCCATTTATTTTACTCTGTTTAGCATTTTGATACCTACAAATCGCTTGTTAGGCTGTGAACGTGGGAGTTGGGTATACTCACGGATAGCTTGCTGTCTTTGCCAGAGTAGACATGTAGCTTTCTTTTGGAAGCGACTCCTAACCACACATATACTTCGCTGTTACTTGATTACAGGCTTTTGGCTGAATTGACTTCCAGAATACAATCTGCATGAACTAGAATGCATCCACACACGCGTGCATGAATACGCCTCGTAAATACAGAAGGTATGTGCCAAATCGGCGCAGCAGAAACAGGGAGCTCATCCCTTGGATCCACCTGCGTCTCAGGGAAGCAATGGTCGCTTTTGTTCCGCGATTAATCTCCTGTCCGCCACCTGGAGACGCGCCACGTAGCATCGCGACCAACCGGCTCGAGATCCATCATATGAGGCATCAATATTATTATTACCACAATTATTATCATTAGTATCATTATACCTCACATGGCGAATAATGGTAATAAAGATAATGATGGTAATGATAACAATGGTAATAGTGGTAGTAGTAGTAGTTTCGACATCTTCATCTTCCTCATCTTCAATGATTGCTGACGGCAAAAGATCGATAGAACTAGCAGAGAGACAGGCGAAACGAAGGACCCGCGTGGTGTGGTGGTGGACGCGCTACTCTCCGGAAGGGACAATAACGCGTTAGTTCCCCACCGCATACACCTGCGGTCCGGAGTTTTGCAAATATCTCAGCATCATTGAAGTTATATTTCATAATGTATACCCTGCCGTTAAAAAGAGTAGGCAGTAAATAATAAGTTGAAATTGTGATTATCGTCAGATATGCTTATTGTGGGTACTCTACGAGCTGTTCACGAAGGCTGTACTTTTGACCATATCGAAGACTTTGGATGAAGCACAACCATTTGTGCCACTAGTATTCGCACATGGATTTTTCAGCATAAAAAATAAAGGAGAAAACTCTCGACGTTGATCAATCCCTGAGGGATGCGCCATGCATTCGACTTCATTAAATACCGGTTGGAGGTGGTTGAATGTATATCTAGTCTTTACGATGGCTTGCGGTGGCCTCCCAAAGTATCGAGCTATCCTCCCAGAAAAGCCTGGTACTAGTTTCCCGACTCCGGAGGGATGGAAGGCTTGGTGGGCCATGGGCGTGGGGATCGATTCCACGTGTGTGTTGCAAGGCTCGTCCGTCCACTCCGCCACACGCGCTCCTCCAGCATGGATCACATCCGGTGATCTGAAGGGATGGGACGTCGATGGACTATGACGCAACTCCTAACCTTTTGTCGCCTTGTTTTAACGACCACAAAAATTGTGATGTCGTATCCGCTATCTAGATGTATCCATATTAACCGGCGTTTACACTTCTTTAAGATATGACTGGACAACATACTGGGTCCTCCATTTGTGCACTCCAAATTTTTATAGTTCAAAACAAGACTGCTTAGATAAGCAATAAAGTTTTGAGTGCATTAGGTGTTGAGCAATAATAAAGCAAGTGATGATTAAATTGATAGTAGGAATGGAAAAAATTCAGAGGGTTCACCTACCACTAAAACGAACACGATCTAGTAAAACAGATTCTTTATTACTAAAAAGACGATCACATGAAAATTTTTATTTATTCAGTCGCAGTGCCATTAACTTTCCACTGGAACAACCATCAAACAAGTTGTTAAACACAACGGTTCCATTCTCGCAGAAGTTGGAAAATGGAATTTCGTAGAACGTCTCGAATCCCATCTGAAAACACTTCTTAAACACCAGCACACTGCTTCTTTGCCGGTTGTGATAAATTCCATTCCAAAGTTGGAATGGGAAGCTTTACTGAATCAGAAAGAGTGTGTGTCTGAAAGGAAATCTATATGCATTGGATGCTTTCCTCCTCTCAACATCTTCTCTGGATACTCAGACAAACCGAAAACAGTTTCCATTTTGAGGAATTATTTCTTCAGAAACTAGGTATCGGTCATGTTTTAGGTCTCATATGATTTCAACTAGATCTTTACTAGAAGATTATAGATCTCTCACTGAATTTTATGCCGTAACTGTATGCCAACGTATTTCAGAGAGCAACTGCGGTTTGGAAACCACGAATAAGAGGTCAAACATTTCAATTCTCTCATTGTTTAGTGCTACTACGATATTTCGCTGTAACTTCTGCTCAATGTTTTATATCATTGTTATTACACCACTCATCATGACTTCTGTGCGGATCTGAACACTTCTTGAATTCGATTCGTTTCCTTGCATTCATCGCCCACAGTGGTCTTCAAGCATTGATGTCGTAGACTTTTGGTTGAGTAAACTCTTCTTGCAATCTTGGAAACATCCAAGTTAGGCGACCCCGCATGGATTGGAGGAGAGCGTTGGATGAGGTTCCGGTGAGCACCTTAGCCTTTTAATGCACTGTGCCACTAACGACTGCACTACCATCCCCCTCACCACCTTGTTGTTTTACTATTTCATAAAATTGAAACTGTGAAGCGGAGTACACGATTCTTCGTGAGAATGACAGGGATCAACCAACTTTGGTTACTAGAAATTACTTTATAAACAAACCCGAGTGAAAACTGCTTGAGATGCAGCCGCTGTCGCGGCTGTTACCACCCACTCACACCCTTCTGATCGGGCGACGTTGATAGCCCTCTTGGTTAACTCCTTACCCAATCCGTGTCTGAAATTTCATATGAACCAGCCTCACCCACAACTTTTCTTCCACATTTTTGACTAATTTTTTCTTTTTAGAAAGTTAACCTCAAAGGCTCTTTGTACGACTTTCACTTCTGTTTTCTGATTCTCAAATTGCGTTACATCTAAATCAATAATGACCTCATGTTTGTCCAGGCATTTCTATCAACAGGCTTCGTAGGCAAATGAGGGATTGTCTGTCAATATCTATAGTCAAAAAAATGACTTTATTAAAAACTTCATCAGTTTCAAAAAATTTTCGTCCCTGGTTTAGAAACATGTTGACGCGTAACTTACCCTTTAGCTTCGTCGGCAACGCAAATGATGTCGATTTTCAAGCACTTTGTGAAATGACCGGGTAGTCGATGTATACCTTGTTCTAACGCGTTCACGTACGCTGTCAACTGGTTTGCCTTGTGTTGTTTGTATGGCCCTTTCGAGATTTCTGGAAATTTTCACAATGTTAAGCGTTAAGTGGCGCAGCTCCGTCCGTACATTGAACGAGACAGTACTTTTTCCTAAATGCTCTTCATGTTGGGTTTTAATTGTAACTGACATAAACATGAAACAGATGGACAAATAATTAGACAATAACATTGTATGCTTAGGAAGCGTGCATCACAGAAGTTCGAGATTTCCTACAATACAGATCTGGTCATTAGTTCAACAACATATCCTCAGCCAACCAAAACCACCGTCCTTCCGAGAACTGCAAACTGCTAATAGGCCTTTTGCAGAAATAAACACACTGAGTTGACATATTGGAAGGCCACTACTTTAGTTATTTTACTGAACAAATATGCTTTTCACCATGTCTGCGATGCTCAATGAACACGTATGCATGGTGCATCCATAAGGCATCGATCAACGTGAGAAAGTAAAAACTTTAGTTCATCGTATATGCTCTACGTTAATGATGCAAAATTTTCCGATGATCCTATTAACAATCAACTACGTCAAGCGAACTGTCTTCATCAAAAATAAATTTCACTGCCTTGAGGTCCGCTAGAGTTATTCTTCTGGGATGGCTCAAAAGTTTGTATTGTGTATATTTGTAAAAAGTTTGTATAAGAAAAACTGTATTAAGTTTTTGACAAGAAGTCTAATATGCACTTCGTAAGCCTTCGGAAGGCATTAGAAAATCACCCTTTTCGAACGATAGCAAGCTTTCTAATGATTTTCGCAAGGAAAAGAAAAGGAAAAGAGAATACAGTCGGTGGGGCTTGGTAAATGAGGTTTATCTGCATGCGCGGGGCCTCCTTCAATCATGCAAACAAAGAGCTGAAGCATTTTTTTTATTGACCAGCAAAAGAACTGTAGTATGCTACATTTAAACAAGTGTTTGTTTGAGTGAAAAATGCAGAAGCACTGTTAATCTTATTAATGAGGTGAAAAGTACATGACTTACCACCGAGATAGTTATCATTTGCGGCTTGAACTTCTGGTGAGGTAGCTTCTTTGCTATCGTCATGAGTGCTTAAGGAACATAAACATATGCCGATCAATCTGAAAACAGTGAAGAATTGGTGGAAATGTGCCAACGGCCGTTATTAAATTCTGAGCAAATACTGTTCCTTTTCGGCCGACTTTTTTCAATGATGACGGCAAGAAAGATAGTGTCCTCACCCATTGATCTAAGCACCCGTAATAAATCTACCCTGCTTATTTGACACTTGAGTAGCTCGTATACAACAAACCCGTGCGGATCGAGCAAAAATTCGCATGACCTTGCGCGGTGGAGTTTTTTTAACAACTAACAATGATCACCAGTAGTGGAGTAGAGTCGGAGATGGAAATAGACCCAAGGAAAAAACTCTATATCGCTTTAAAAGTGTATGAAACTTTTATGAGATATTCTTTCAGTTTCGAGTTTGTTCAGCGAAATCCTGCTTCTTCAATCTCTTTCGTGAAAATTCGACGGAAGAAGTCGGAAGAGTACGCTTATTGGGGTCCAGGAAATCAATCATCGTGGCAGAACTGGAGCACTTCCAACTTCCGGGCGAGGATCCGTAGACTCTACTAGTTTCAATTGTAATTAACAATGTTCATTGACAGCGACTAGTAGTTTCGTACCGCGCCACTCCTATAGAGGTCACGTTGCCGTATTATTACACTTTAGATCTACTGCACGGATCCCAGCACTTCTTGCACTCGATCCGTTTTCCCTCCATTCATCCTCCACAGTGGTCTAGCAGCATTTCGTGCATTGTATAGGCTGCTGCATGACGATTTTGTATTCTTTCCAGAATGTGACAAAATGCTGATCGAGTCGATTTTTCTTGCCAAGTTGAGACGTCCCACTTGCATTGGAAGAGAGCGTTGGGAGTGGGTCGGATTAGCGCCTTGCTTCCTGGTCGACGACACCACTAACCACATCACATGTTGTCACCGCTCCTTGAGAATGGGATGTTAGGTTCGCCGTCTCGCCACTATGTTTCTTGCACAACTGCGGTAATGAACGGCATTTATTACTCTAGGCTGTCCTTCCGCTTCTAGCCAAAAGCTCCGAACACTTTCTCAGTTTGAGTGACTCGGCTGAGAAAGAACACCTGTGCAATCTTGTTGGCGAAAATGAAACCGTGTAGGTTGCTGATGGCCGATCGTGAGCTTTTAAGCGTGATTTGGACAAAATATGACTACAAACAAACCTATTGCCTTGATGAACAATAGTAGAGTATTTTTCATTAGAGTATCCTGAATACGACAGATCATGGAAGAAATCACACAGATCCGATTTCGATGGATCTAAAATTTCTAGTAATAAGAGATATAAATGCATGTAGAAAGATATCTTCTAAGCATTAAATATTACATTCCTACTCAAAAAAAGTTTATTGAGAGTAACGTTCGGAATAAAAGAGAGTTAAATCAACAAATGTGGACTTTCTTCACGCTTTGCAAACAAACCCTTAAATGCACGGTAAAAGTCAAAAGGCTATCGCTTGTAAAAATTTCTTCTACCAAATAGCGCGTGTCTAGTAGCCGTGCAACAATAAGTGAAAGCTCCCAACTCTCAAAACGTAAAATGGAATGAGGAACTCAAATGGCATAAAAATAAAGTGAAGTTTTAGAACGCGTATCCTTGAAATTTTTAGTGAGACGAAATAAACATGGATTTCGGCGCTTGTATCTTCCCACTCATCGTTCTATGCTTTTGGACCCATTCAACTTTTGTCTGAGGTGAAAGGAACTAGTACTCTATCCAAGCACACTGCTGTCAGGCTTCGGTGAAGTTTTGCAAGAGAGCGAAGTATTTTTCGGCTTTCTTTTAGTGTTTTATGTAGCCGCAGTTACAACGCGATGAAAATGATTCACCGTAGCGATTGAAAGCGAAGCAGAAATCAATAATTGGTCGAAAATTGAACTGTATAGGCTTGAATCACGTTAACGGTTTTCCGCCCTTAGATGAGAAACGTTAGACCGAAGCTGCTATTCTCGGACATGACGCATTGCTTACAAACTACATTCTCTTGGTTTCCAAGAGAGTAACCTCCGTTTGTCGGATAATGCAAGATGTGAAACAAGAGACAGGCTACACAAGATTATTTCGCTGGACGAAAGTGTTTGCAGAAATTTCACAGGAGCTAACGCATGTAGGAGAAACATCTGCACCGACCAGACTCTTGTGTTTCAGAGAAAGGCGAGAATATCGCATATTTCGCCAAATGCAAGCATGATGTCGAGGATCTGCTGCGACAATGTACAGAAAGTGCAGATGCGTGAGCTCAAGGTATATCAGCTACTCGAGTTCAACTCAAGTAGACAAAGCACGAGTTTCCGTCGCTACGAGGGCCCATGTACAAGACGTGAGCAGTCAAAGAAACGGAGATGTTATATTGAATGTTATAAAAAATACTCTAAGTGTTATCACGTAATATGTTGCGGATCAAATTCCAATAGTTGAGAACTAGGTAGAGCCAAAACAACAATGTTCCTGTTTAGATTGCCTCAATTATTAATACAGAATGGGTTAAATGCAAATATTATAGCTTTAAATTGTATCTGAACGTTTTAAACTGGAACGCTTGCGGAAATGAAATGGTTGCAACTGCTTGTAAATCATCTGTCAGAAGTGAGCATTTAAGTTATCAGTTGTTACGATTAATAGACTGTGTCAAAAGAATTGCAGATAATAAATTAAATGTTTTGGACCAAAACGCCCAGAACTGTTGTAAAAAGTTGTAGGAACAAAAATTTTGACTGTGGTGTATTTGCAAAGACACGACAATTTGCAAAGACAAAATACATTGATGAAAATTGAGGTTGCCTAAATCGCATGGGACTAAGGTGGCGATTTGTACCTACACTGCGTGCTCACTTGGATCTGACTCATTGCTACAGGACTTAATCATGCAGGCAAGAAAGATAAGGTACGATGTCATCGAACTGGAGGAGACGAGACGACTCCACCCATTTAACTTCGTTTGTGACACCGGAGAACAACTGTTCCTCGGAAAATGCGATAATAGCTAAGTCGGCGGCTTCGGCATTCTCAACAGCACGAGTTTGGCCAAAACATCGATTCATCCGAACAACTACCAACCCAAATCGGACGTTTACGATTAAAAAGATGTGAATCAATATCCACTTTTTCGATTCGAGAAGATGGATCGCTGAGGAAGACCTGGCTCGACACGAAGGCGAAGCTGCAACGTCGAGACGAACAACAATCATGGACCATCGACTCGGATCATCGGCTCTGAGGAAGACGAAGACGTCGAAACGTTAGCCGAAAATAAATATATTTGTCAACCTCGTGCAAGCTTATCAAGAAAGAATGCATACTGATTAGTCACACTGAGGTTCAGGGAAAGTCGGTTTCGAAATATCCACTTTGTCAATCTTCGTCGTTTACGCTCCCACATCAAACTATGACGAAGAAGAAGTCGAAACGTTTTATACGTATATGGAGAGCCTCTAAAGAGAAGAGCAAACATTCTACTAGGTCATCATTGGAGCTAAGACTAGACCTAGAAGAAAGTCTGAAGAACGTCATATTAGGACCCACGTATTAGAATGGAACAAGCAGGATGAGCAGTTGTCTGAGTTTATCATGATGACCAAGACCATTCATGGTATCGCGCAAATCAAAAGGTCATACTTTCAGGGCTGGACGTGGGAGCATCCCGATGGAGAGTACTAAAACGAAATAGACTCCATTATTTCAATGTTTAACGTTTTGTTTTCTGCCTTCTCTAATCTTCATGGCAGGTTACTAAGCGAAATACAACCACAACGTTGCCGAGATATTTGGAAAACTCTGGACCGCAGGTGTCTATGGTGGGGAACCAACGCTTAGTAACCTGCCATGAAAATTATAGAAGGCAGAAAACAAGACGTTAAACATTGCGATTTCAACTACAGCCATAGCTTAGCTGGGTTCTATGCCGATTTGCGCTCCCCAGATCAACCCCGCTGACGGGTGATTGCTGTGGCAAAAAGACAGGCGAAACGAAGGACCCGCATGGTGTGGTGGTGAGCGCGTTACTCCCCGGAAAGGACAATAGCGCGTTCGTTCCCCACCATAGACACCTGCGGTCCAGAGTTTTGCAAATATCTCAGCAACTCGTATGAAGTGCTCAGCTCTCAGTATCTATCTCAGTTAGTTCTATCGATCTTTTTGAAATCAGCAATCACCCGTCAACGGGATTGATCTGGGGAGCCAATATCGGCATTGAACCCAGTTAAGCTGAGGCCTCGTTATAATCACAATCTTAACTCTTTTATTTACTGCTTTTTTCTTCTTAATGGCAGGTTGTGTTTCGAATTATAACTCGTATGAAATGCTGAGATATTTGTATCTATATATCTATATCTCAGCACTTCATACGAGTTATATTTCACAACATACCCTGCCATTAAGAAGAAAAAGGCAGTAAATAAAAGAGTTAAGATTGTGATTATCTCAGCAACGTTGAGACTCCATTATATTAAGCAAGGTTTTTTCTAGCCGATGTCGCCGTTGCCTAAAATTCTGCACGAGAACAGACCATCGCCTACCTCATTCGAAACTCCGTTTTTCGATGAAAGTAGAAAAACCCGTCATTAGTCGGCTGTTGGGAACATGTCGTTCTTGATAGTATCGAAGAGGAATGCTATCGTCTCATTCTATATCTTCACGTCAGGGCTATAAAAGTTGAGAGCTCGAAAGTCGCCACGAGACGTCTCTCAAGTGACATTCGAGCTGATAAGCAATCGTAGAATATTGCAATCCACAGGAAACCCCCAGGACAAGCAATAAGAAAATATCCTAAAGAGAGAAGAGCAGCAGTTATGGTCGAAGCTGCAGAGGCTGGGAAAAGCGTTCGCCAATCCCACAGAATCCTTTCCAGTTACAAAACCAAAATGATTGCACTCGGACTCCCAGACGGAACAGTTATAGCTTCCAGTAAGGCAATGAAGAAAATCGTTCACGATTAATACTCGGGTCCCCTCAGCCATGTCGTCTTGCCCTCATACGAAATATGAGAACGTGGAAATGTCGTCCCAGCGGTTCTCCTTTCCTAAATCCCACATACTGCTTCGTTGGTGAACAGTCGCACATCTCTATGTCTGCATCGGATGAGATCTAAACACCTGAAGAACCATTCGCCACTCCTCATAACACTTCCCACGTTACTTGTCTGAATACGAGGTACTTATCCAATGAAAGGGCAGAAAGACTGTGTTACTCTTCAAGAACAGTGACCTCTAGAATATCGGCAAATACTTCTCAATCTGTTTACTGTCTGTCGTGTGCAAACTTTCCGCTGAAGTCGTCGCTTTTTACTGTCGACGGTGACTCAAGGAAGCAGTCAAGGAATAATAGACAGCCAGGGCATCACTGTTCAGTATATAATGATTCTTCGTAAGATGCATAAATATTTGACAGCTAAAATATCACCATTCTATAGCGATGTTAAAATCGACGTCAAAAGAGGGGTTCGACAAGGCGATACCATCTGGCCAAACTTATTTACCGCCACCTTCGAGAACGTCATGTGCACACTGGTACAACACGTGAGTGAAAATCGGTGATCCGTAAAACCCAATCCTCGCTTTATTGATGACACTGTTCTTATAACATCAAGCAATAGCCAAGAGGAACGGATATTTGCAGGCTTTGACAATGCCCGTGGAAAGGTTCATCTTCGACTAAATCTAAAAAAGCCGATGTTCATGAGGAACGATTTGGCTTCTTATACCACTCACGCTCAAGGGCAAGAATATCTCCAAATGCTCCATTGACGTCTATTTAGGCCGTGAAATCAACATGATGAATTTTCTCCTGAGTTGAACAGGAGGAAGGGAGCGGCTTGTGGAGTTTTCAAGAGCAACAAGGACGTAGTGAAGAGAACAAAGAACACGCGACTCCGTGGCCGACCTTTTCGAGTCCACAATTCTTCCTGCCTTGACGTATGTGTCAGAAAATGAAAACAGCCGATGGAGAAGAGCAGTTAGTTACTGAATTCCTCGGGATAGAATTCTTCACTAAAGGTATAGAAAAAAGATATGATGCTTAACGAGTCCTTAGAGCTAACAGAATCCACTGAGATACCTCCTGCATGAGATAGAGAAAAACGGAAGACTTACTAGCTCCCGCTCTAATGATTTTCCTATCAACAGAACCACAGGTGACAGGTGACCATCTACCCATAGTTGTGACTTTAGTTGAGTATGAAAGAGCGTTTGACAGCTTCAAAATCAATGCAGTCCATGGATCTGTTGACCATAGAGTGAGCTTCGACCTATATACGAACTCTATCTGACTGTTATAGGAACTACACCACGAAAAATGGTTTCTCCATAGACCGGTTACTTTTCCTATACGAAAATGGATTGGATAAAGTGACAAAATATCGCTGTAGTAGGTTACAGCAAGTTTACAATGGATAATGAAGTCACTCGATTGGGACGAGAAAGGCTATCGATGGCAAAATTCTATCAGACTATCTTTTTGCTAAAGACATCGTCATCTTTTCAAGAAGCACCAACAATACACAGATGATGATCAGTTAGCTAAAGGAAGTAGGAAACAAGGTCAGACTACGCATGAATTGGAAAAACAGCAGTTCATGAAAAACTCGCTGCGCGAATGTGAACAGGTCAAATCGCATAGTTCTCTGATTACGAAGGCCACCTCGTATATATAACTTAGGTGTTCAGTGAGCATGGAGAACAACATGAAAGAGGAATTAAACAGAAGGAGAAGAGCACCTTGAGCCGTAGTTGGGCTACTCAAAGAAGCCATCGAAGCTTAAGCATCCAAAGATTCACCCACATGTCTTCGATTCAACAATCCTCCTAGTGCTCTGTTGTGCAGCCGAGACGTTGGTTGTTAATTCAATCACGTAAAGAAATCTGTGCACAACGTACAGAACGCTTAAACGATGTCTTCTGAAATTTAACTATTCGCACCTTCTAACCGGAATGTGCAGCTCTGATCATCAAAAATCAATCTGTGTCACGCCTTCGAAATCCGCGAGAATATACATCGATAGCGAAACATAGGGGACCAAGAAAACAGTAGAGTGGTGACCACGAGGAAGCAAGAGTGCCCTTTGAAAACCACACAAACGATGGGCAGACGTCTTCGTAACCAGAGCCAATCAGCTGTAGTTACAGCTGCATTTGTTCTACAGATCACGGTGTAGGAGTCGCACTCGCCACCATGCTATAGTTAAATCAACACCACGGACGGCGATTGCGAGGCAGAAGAACGAAAGAAAAATATGATGAGCTCAGCACAACTCAATAGACTGTTCAAGTACCCAAGTTATACAACATAATGCTAACCAATTTGCACAGCAATTCTAATTCTTACTCGTGCGCTAATTTACTCTAAAGTCCACCATAATCTACCATTTTTCGACTGCGGTTAGCACAATAAATCGACGACGAACGGGAGAAAAGGTGATAGAGGTGAACTCAATTATTTGCTTTCCTGTTTGATTTCTCTTAATCTAAACATGAACCTTTCCTAAACGCAAAAAATTACTATGTTACACTAAAGATGAACTCCAGGAACCGCTGTGATAGTGTGAATGGGGGTGATCGTGTTCTGTTCACTCGTCTGTTTTGTTATTTTGATGTTTTAGCGTTAATCCAAAAAGCAGTTTCATGAGCTCCTGTTTTTGATTTCCGTGTCAAGACATTAACGTCGTCCTTAGAATTCTCACTTTTATTCTTTTATATTCGATGTTCACATTGTGAAGTACTTTGACAAATTTTAAATTTTTTTCTAGCAGGTGTTCCATCATGGTGGTACCAACCAGCTTACTCGTTCAGCAACGAGTTTACTCACCACTACTAACTCTATAGAAATCCAAATAGGTTGCACCAAGTTCATGCAACTTATTTTAAGATGGTGAGGATAAAGAGAGTCTCTTTAAACATTCTCAGATAAGAAGGGTTACAACGGATGACACCAAATCATGCCACAGTGTTCATTTCTAAATTAGAAGGAAGTTCTCGAAGTCGCACTACGTATAAAAAATCCCGCTTGGGAGATTTCCCGAAAATGCGCCCATCTTAAAGTGATGACGTAT